TATGGTCAGCGCCAGAGCGCTGTTTTGATGCGCTAAACTTAGCGCAGGGGCTGAAGCAGGAGCGCAGCAGCGAGCGGAGCAGTGGCAGGGCGACTGAGCCAGCACGGCGGCCATTGCCGCCTGAGGTACCGGGAGCTTGGAGGATCTCTCCTCCTCTCCCTCGCCAGTCCCCTCTCTCTCTCTCTCTCTCCTCTTCTTCTCCTTCCTCTTCTCCTTCTTCTGTACGGGATCTGGGTATCGTCTGTGAATAACCCAGACCCCACCATCTCATGATTGTATGTGTGTGGAGTGATGCCATGTAGGTCAGTCTATGTGAGTCAGTCTATGTGAGTCAGTTCGTTATCAGACTTCCGCTGCATAAATGCTCATCCTATATTGGTTGATCTTTGGTTCTGCCCATACTCATTGAAGTATGTAACAGTCGCTCACCGCACACACCGCGTGCATGTACCGCATTAGGCAGAAGACAAGCGCCAGATTAGCGCACCGTACCACAGCTCCGATACCAAATTGCAAGGAAGATGAGCAATAGCGAATTCCAGAAACCCAAACAGCACCATACACATGAGACCAGATAGTCGTGACCTCGAACCAAAAGCAGAATTGCATCACGAGTTCCACCAAATATGAGCACAGCAAAAGCTCACAAGTGACAATGTGCGAATAGTCCCATCATCATCAATAATGAACCAATGTCAATATCCTATCTGGCGCTCGGCGCCCAGACTACAGATGGCAGATCCTATCTAGCCTACTATCTACAATGCCACGGATGACGTCAACAGCTCCCTGGAGTACGAGCAGATCTCGGACAATGTCGTCGCCTCAAGCACCAGGTATGTCTCTCGCATCACTCACAACCTCTATCCCCAACACTCAGATGCCACATGCACCCAAGGACCACCATGCGCCCATCCAGCATACAGCAGCGCAGCTCGGCTATGGCTGCCTGCTCCTTCCAGCTCGCCCGTGAGTGTGTGAGCCTGGCAAGCGATAGTGCAGCAGCGCTTGCGCACAAAGCAGCCAGTGCCCAAATATCCAATGAGGAGGCAGGCCCTTTGCTATATGGAAGTGGCCTGCCAGCTGCTGCGCTGGGCCTTTCCCAAGAAGCTTCCGGCAGGCCCCGGTAGGCTGAGACCCAGTCCAAACGAATCAGGCCCAGGGCCTGCGGTGGTTACTTGTGCCCAACTGCCCTCGGCCTGTGTTCGGCCCACTTTACGTATCCAGCCCAGGGCCTGCCTTCCATACATGCACACAGGCGGCCTGGGCCTGGGTACTCTCAACAAACTGGCGCTGCGCAACTGCCTGAATTTTCCTCAGTTGCGTGGTGGCCGAAACAGGGACCCTCAGGCCCTCGTCGAGCCTGCCTTCACTTAGGGCGGGCGACGTGCTGCATGACAGAGCCCAAAAGGGGCTCATCCAGGCCTTGGCCTCGCACTTTCTGTTTTTAGGTAAAAAGAATAGCTGGGCTCCTATATTGTGAAGGTTTTCTGTTTTTCTTTTTAACACACAGTCGATTCCCTGAGTTTTCCTCACAAAAAAGAACAGAAAAAGAAAAGGAAATGCGAAAGAATTCAAATTTCATAACTAACCCTTAGGTTTCCCAATATTGCTGGTTTGGGTTTGTCATTCTCCTTGCCAGCGATCAGCGAGTTCACTGTCGTCTCGTTCTCAGGACTTTGCTGGCGAAGATCGATTGCGGCCACTCCGATGAAACGCCCGGGCGAATCGAAAACTGCAGTGATTAAAAAAAGCAAGTACACAAGTGGAGAGCACGTATGTAATTAGAATTATGAACTTTCTCTCGCCGGGGATAGACATTTTTACAAGGGGAAACTACGTGGGAGTAACAAAAACGAGTTATACTTGTAGTATGGGCCAAGATACAGTTTGCAATTGCAGTTCGGCAATGTATACAACCCAGCTTTCTGTCCAGGTAGGGTGCCCGAAGGGCAATTGCGAACACCTGTGCAAAAAAACTCCCCCCCTACCACCCAAAACGCTCTGCATGAACTCTGTGAGCTCCCACCGGTCACGTTTTTCGTGACCGGTGACCGGTCCGCATTCACCGAGGCCGCGAACGGTGAACGGGGGTACGGCACTGGCCCTGAACGAGAGCAAAATGGGGAGTTAGGACCGGGGCCAGACTTAGCTACTCAGAAACGGAGGGCCGCAGGTCCAGGTCTCCAGTTTAAAGCACCAGTACACAACATATCGGCCGCGGTTGTCAGCATGACTCCGCACCACTTCGGAGGCCGCCAATTTTTTTTTCCAACGGCGGGCCTTGCCGTGCGGCACCGCCGGGTTGTGCTGGTGGCGACAAAAAACTTTCTGCAAGGCTGCGGCCGTGTACTAGCGGTTTAAGTTGTTTTTAGAAGCGACGGAGGACCCGGTTTCCAGTAGGTGCTGCTCTGCACCAATAGACTGGGGCCATCCACTTGGCAACCTCAATCCCGGTGGTTCTCTCACCTCTACTGGGATAATGGCCTCCCAATGTGATGTTATGATTTTATAAATAAATAAATACACACATGCAAAACAGAAGAAAACTCAATTGGAACAAAACTGCAGTTGTGTTGATCATTTAAATTTCATGTTCTGCTATGAACTTTCTAATAGCTGTTTACGTCGAAACTATTACTGTTCTATTTGTGTATTAATTAATGCAAAAAAGCAGAAAAGCAGAAAAGCAGATCAATCGCCGTATTTTGCAACTCTCCACAAACACGTCCAGATTCAGGAACTAACTCTGATCCTCACCCCTTGAAACTTCTATAATACTTGGAAAAGGCACGATCCTTGCACGACGCTTCCCACGCGCCTTTGAAAATTTGGGTAGGGAGATAGTACTGGTGGGTCGCACCGCACTTTGGGAAGTGTCCATCAGATCCATTCGAATACGAGCGGTGTAGCTCAGGGCTTGGTGGCAGCAGGGCTTTTTCAACTCCAGATGTGATTTGCGTCAGATACATTGGATAACTGCTAGTAGCCAGTATGCGAGCGACCTGGGGTCGTGTCGTGTGGTCGTCTTTTCGCATTGTTTTTATCGTTTTCTGGCCCCCTTTTGAAACTCATTTGTTTCGTTTCTTTTTGGTCATTTTCTGGCCTGCTTTTTGCAGTTAATGAGGTTTGTAGTAGGGGGGGGGGGGGGGGGGGGGGGGGGGGGGGGGGGGAGAGAGAGGGGGAGAGAGAGAGAGAGAGAGAGAGAGAGAGAGAGAGAGAGAGAGAGAGAGAGAGAGAGAGAGATGATGATGTTAGGTTGGCAGTGTGAGAAGAAGAGAACTCAAGGGGGAAACTTGGCACGGAAGAGCTTCTTCAGCTACTATGCCTGCCATGACTATTTCTCCGCTGTACTCTTCTTCTAAGGAGGAAGAGGAATTGGAGGAAGACAGGGATGGGGAGTGGAGGCCCTGGAGGGGTTAAATGAAACAGGTGCAAGGAGGAGAGAAAGTTGGTGAAGATTGAAAAATAGGAACTGGATCACAAGGAAGGGAGGGTGCAAACAATGAGCGAGGCCCTGCGAGGGAACGGAGGAGGACTCTGGAGGAGTGGAAGAGACGGCAGAGGTAGGATTGCGAGGATGATGACAGGTCAGCTTGCGGGTGTTGCCAGTCATAAGCAACTCAGCTGCAACTGGACTGATGACCCCCTAGAGTAGATGGGGGGGGGGGAAACAAAAAGGAAAGATCCTAGCAATGTGCAGCGAAGAGGGCAACTCCAAGTAGGAAGGAGAAAAATGAAGATCATGGGGTAAAGGGTGGAGAAAAGGAGGGGGGGTGGGACGGGGGGGAGGGGACAAAGAGAGAGAGAGGTAACAAGGAGGTGGATAAGGACGAGGATCTTGACATCGAGGAGGAGGACTTTTCTCCTTTTTTTTTCTTCTGGAGGAGAGGGCGCCGGAAATGATTGCACTGCAGTACCTGGCATCACAACTGTGGTGGCATTTCCACGATCAGTTACGTCTCTGTATTTCTCAGCAAAAAATGGCTCAGTCACATTGCGGCGGAACTGTGCGAGGTAATTGAAATAGGAATAGATGCCCAACAAAGGATCGCTCATTCCAAGATGTGTTGCTGTGCCATTAACAGCTGCCGCCAGCTTCGTATAGTTGGCAAAGTCGTTGAAGTTGGTCACATCCACCCCGTAGACGAAAACTGCGAGGTTCCTTTGAGTCTCATTATTGTATGCATTGATTGCAGCTGCTGCAGTTTCCACATCAACTTTGCCCCGAGTAAAGACCAACAACACCTGTAGAATGATCAAGTAAACAAGAGCAGAAATAGACATTATTAAAAATCAAAGGACACTGAAATAGTGACCATTACAATTATAACATGAATGCAACGTTTATGTTGTGAACCCATCAACTTTGTGCGATTTACATAATAATTGTAGTTATTAATGGCTCTTTGAAAGAATGAAGAGAAGGAGAGGACACAGAAGAGAGGAGGTGGGAGACAAGAAGACTGTAACATGATGAGCAACACACACCTCGGGCTCATCTTGTGCATTTGATGCTCTCCACATGTCTCGTAGTTTTGACACAGCTCGTTGAATACCCTCTGTGAGGTCTTCCTTGGGGTTCAGTGGCGACATCTTCTGCATTGATGTTGTAACATTTATGCAACGTAATGGATCAGTGATCATCCGCACCAGTTCCTGCAAGTGAAAGAAACCGCACACACACACACACACACACACACACACACACCAGTGTCACCATACCCACACATGAATGCATTCATACACCCTAAAACCCTAACCTTAAACTCTTAAACCCTATAACTCTACATTAGCAGAAAGCCATAAAGGACAGAACTCGATGTGAAAACCTGATCATCTCTTTAAGTTACTCTCCCTGGAAACATGCCCCAAAGACCAAACCGGGAGCATATCCCTGAGACTAAACCGGGAACAGACCCCAGAGACCAAAACTGGTATCAACAAGTTAATCTCCCTCAGGCTGGAACATACCCCACAGACCAAATCTGATATCATATGCTTATACATAACACAGATAACAGAACATCAATCAAATATTTTCCGTTATAAACTTGCGCATAGTAACCGACAAATTTAGGCAAAATACAAGATCTACGTGACCAAATTTTCCAACTCTGGCGAGCCACGCGCGAATGCTTTTTCAACAGACAAGCATCTACAAATGGACCTTTCCATATAGATCGTGACATAAATTGCACTTCTGATTCAGCACTAGGTGCAAACAGAAGCTATCAATCAATACCGGGATTCGACCGTCATTTATCTATCACAAAGGCATGCATTTCCTATCAAAGAAGAAGGTGCGTTGTCAATCATAACATTTAACTCAAGTTCAGTGGCAAAAGCAATAGAATTTCCATCAAGACACTTACTAGTAAACAGAAGGACATCTGCTAGTCATTCGGGAAGAAACGGACGCGTGCCACTTGTGTGGGAAGGCGGTGAGGGGTTCCCAAGAACCTGAGGCTACTTGGAAAGGTCCTACAGTCCTACCTCTCCCACGTCCAAATCAGCATCCGGAAATGTTGTGAAGGCAAGTCTGTCTTCCACCCGGAAAGTCTTGAGCAGCCTGTACAGTGTTCTCCTTAATACGTCGAGTCTCGATGTCCTGTCGTCAAAGGGCCCAAACTGACTGTGCTCCATGCCCATGTCCTTTGTCAAGTCGACGAGTATGGATACTCGTTTGCTTGGTGAACTGGCCTCTGCAAACCTTGAAAAGCACACAGGTGAAGCGCACATCAGGCGGAAAGAAGCGGACAGCCACCACGTAACCCTGCAGTGAAAAGAGCATCAACTCCGGTCCTTCCTCCCTCTCCCCCCTCCTCAAGCACCTACACGTACCTTCTTTCTATGTATCCCCAGCGGCAGCGGCCGCCGAGGTCACGACCGTGACCCGTGGCCGAGACCACGAGCCCGCGGTCATGACCGCAGCGGCCGCAGTCGAAAACGGCCTCCCGCGGCTGAGGGGAGGGGGGTCCCGCCGGTCAAGGTCGGGATTCCGGGGCCAGGACCCCGCCTGCAACCCCTTGAAGTGAAAAAAGAACAAAAAAAAAAAAGGGGGGGGGTCGCATTTGGAGGTTTTCAGAGAGGGGGGTGGCTGTCTCTTATACACATCTAGATGTGTATAAGAGACAGGCCCTCCTCATTACACACGTCCCACGGCACGGTCGCTCACCGCACACACCGCGTGCATGTACCGCATTAGGCAGAAGATAAGCGCCAGATTAGCGCACCGAACCACA